TAAGATATGTGCAGTGTGCATAGGAATTTGTTCATAGTTTTTTTTTTAAAACTACAGTCTGACCCTCCAATTGTCTGAGGGACAGTGAACTGGCCCCTTGTTTAAAAAGTGTGAGGACCCCTGATCTACATAAAATCTCTTCCCAGGGGGAACAGACAACAGAAAAGTGGGTGAAGGGAGACATTGGTCAGTGTAAGACATGAAAAAATAATAATAATTTATAAATAATCAAGGGTTCATGAGGGAGGGGAAGAAGGGGGATGAGGAGCTGATGCCAAGGGTTCAAGTAGAAGGAAACTGTTTTGAAAATGATGATGCAGCAAATGTACAAATGTGCTTGGCACCGTGGATGGATGGATTGTGATAAGAGTTGTATGAGCCCCCAATTAAATGATTTAAACAAAAAACTTGGACTGCCAGAAAATCAAAGTGGATTTGGAAGACGAGGTGGAGTGAGGGATATTGTTGTTGGTATCAGACGGGTCTTAACTGAATCAGAGAATACCAGAAATAGTCACCTTTGTTTTTATTAACTATGCAAAGATATTTGACTGGATCATAACAAAGTATGGATAACCTTGCGAAGAATGGGATTTCCGGAGCACTTCCTCGTACTCATGAGGAACCTGTATATAGACTAAGAGGTAGTCAGTCAAAGAGACGAAAAGGATAATGAATAATTTGAAATTAAGAAAGACGTGTGGCTTTGTTTTTCCCTTTCACCATATGCATTCAATTTGTATGGTATACAAATAACCCAAGATGTTGAACTATATGAAGAGGAACATGCCATCAGGATTGAGAAAGATTCATTCACAACCTGGCATGCAGGTGACACAACCTGGCTTGCTGAAAGCAATGTGGACTTGAAGGAGTTACTGATGAAAATCAAAGACGGCAGCTTCAGTAGGGATTACACCTCAACATAAAGAATGCAGAAAGCGAGCAACTAATAGTAAGGGCTCAGGTAGAGGGCAGATGTTTTGAGAATGATGAGGGCAGCGAATGTACATATGTGCTTGACACCATGGATGGATGGATGGATTGTGATGAGAATTGTACGAGCCCCCAATAACATAACCTCACAACTGGACCAAACACTATTTGCAGTGCACCTTTTTCAAAACCACCACTAGAGGAGTGGATTAGAAAAAGTGAGACCTAAGTCCAGCCAAGAGCAGCCCAGGGAGCTGGGAAACGGTGGGACCAGCCCCGGAGTGCATTGGGAATGAATCCCAGGAAGACTCTGGAGCTCCGGGTCTAGAAAAAATTCAGTGCATTCAACAAAGAGCAAACTCTTCAAAATCAGGATGAAAAAGTCTTTGTTCAGACCGTGAACAAAGGGTCCCTGCATCCCTAGAAGGAACTGGGGAGCTTTGTTTGTGTCCTGTTTTCTTTCTAATGAAAGGCAAGGAAAACAGTTACAGTGTTCTGCAGCGTGAGATTGTGTCCTTTGGACGGCGTTCTCAGCCACCTTTCTTAAGGGCTCCTCGTTTTTCTCTTCACACAGGTAGAGAAACACGTGAGTGACGCAGTTTCCAAAGGGGCCACCATTGAGACAGGAGGGAAGCGACATCAGTTTGGGAAAAATTTCTTTGAGCCCACACTGCTCAGCAACGTCACCCGGAACATGATTTGCACCCATGAGGAAACGTTTGGGCCTCTGGCACCTGTTATCAAGTAAGAATCAACCGGTGACAGCACCAGCTATAAAGAAAGAGGAGCTTGATAGTGTCAGATAACCATTGTCAAGGAGAGACAAGAAAAAAGAAGCTTAGAGAGAGAGATTTCCAG